AGACCACTGATTATCTGGAAAAAGATATAAAAAGTTCATGTCTTTCTGTCTGATGTGAAGATTCAGAAGGGAAAATACCCAAAGTATCTAATACAGAATCTGGAAACCATATCAAGACAAAAATTTCTAAATATAAACGCTCCTAATCATACATTCACAATTATAAAGTTCAATGGAATCAAGAAATATAAATAAAATTTCAGGCATTCAAATAACAATGCCAACTGGGTAGTAAAAACTAATGAGACAGTCCCCCAAGTCATAAATTCAATGATAATCATGTGCTTCTGGAAAAATGCAATAATCAAACCTATAAAACCAAAATAATCAAAACTATAAAAGAATGGGGAATATCAAATGTCTATGAATATCAGCTTGAATGGCACTAAGTTATTAATGATCACATGGTTAGATGGCTCTTTGATTCTGGTGGGAAAATAGAGGGAAGCATTTTAAATAAGGACTGGTGAACGGATTTGGAAGGAAGAAAAACAAAACTGAATCCAATTCTGAGAGTGACGGCAGAAGATACCTGGTGTAAAAAATATAGGCTTAATGAAAGGTAAGGGTATTCTGAATACAAACTTTAATCAACACTAATTAGATCTTTTCAAAGCAAAGTATATTTCTAAATTTGTCTATTCATTCCACTGTCATTTCAACTCTCCTGCACACACACAAATTTTCTTATTTTTTTTCTTTCAAAAGATAACACAGGCAAATGTCATCAGAATATAGAATATTTCAAGAGAGCATTGACTTTTGGGTATTTTCTATTTTTACAGGAATCCAAATCAGGCTAATAGTTAGTAAAGAAGATAGTAGAGGTTATGTTTTAACAAACAGAACATAATTATATCAATTTTGTACTCATAAATTAGTTAAACAAGCATTTATTCATTCTCTTGAGGAGTATGACAAGTACGTACATCCTATGCTAGTTTAAGTTTTTAAATTATTTAACACCAAACTTCACCCCTAGCCTTTTCTCTAAAGCTTCTACAGGAATTCTGGTCCAAAGGCTGGAGTGAACTTGAAAAATGGTGTTCTTTCTGTCAGAAATTTTACTATCACATGGCCTAAGAAGTGACTGTGACTTCTAGAGTTATACAGGCCAAAATGTGCACAAGTGTGGAGAGGATTTGCGGGTTCCATGCGGGGTGTTCCTTCTTCCTTCACAATTCCTGGCATAAGCCACTCATTGGAGGACTGGTTCACCATCTTTCCTCATTGACACTGACCTTCTACTAGGTCTGTAATCCAAGATGTCAGCTACCACTCACAGTTACTGAGTGGTCCAGGTCACGGTCATACTCTTAAGATTACGTTGCAATGAAAAACATGAATAAACTGTCTGAAGATTGCTACACTGGGATTGTACATCCACTCCACAGTCAGCAGGCAGCTACCCTCAGATCTTGATTACTACTACATCACCAGGACATAATTTATGTATAAATCTTCATATTGAACTGAAGCACAGTATTTTAAAATTGTGTAGCTTCAACACATTTTACCCACACAGTAAGACCAGCTGTGAGCAACTTTTAGTCTAGGTCAGTACATGGTACTTTGGTTAACCATGGATTGACTCATACGTAATTGTTTTGATGTTTCAGAAATATGAAATTCATCATAACTAATCATAATAGAGGGGGTGAAGCCATAAGCACCCCCTGGCTGTGTCTACAGCCTCTTTAAAGAAGGTGTTACTTGCCTCCTTCTCAGCATTATTACAAGGGACTGTGACAGTGAGGTCCCTATGAGCAGAGTTTACTCATACTTGAATATTTAACATAGCAGCTAGTGCCATTCCTGGCACTGAATCAGCATTTACTACATGGTTAGTACCACACTACCAAAAGTTAATGTGTCAAGTTTGAATTTAGAAATTTACATCAAGATTTCTCTGGCTATTTGAGGAATAAATGCCAAACTCCCAAATTTTACAGTTGAGATGATTCAAAATACAAAGATCTCAAAATACGTGGACTGACAAGACAACAATTAACTTTTCCTTTCTTTGTATGACACAGTGTGAGTCCAAACGCATAAAGCGTATGAGGACTTGAAGGAGAAACAAAGGAGGCGCTCTGCGCAGCTGATATCTTAAAACAGGATTTTCTCCATTTTATGTTATCTTCACTCTATTTTGGATAACAAGCAAAAATCTAGAGTACATATTGGATGCGATAGACATTTAATTTCTTCGTATGCGACCTAACCGTTTTATCTTAGGAAGACTTTAAACATTCACACCCAGTTTTTGCTGATTTGTACACCGATGTGTCTTGCTTGTAGTATCTGGGTGGATCGTGGATCTTGCAGAGGCTTGGTCTTTTTGATAATCATAAAACCATTTAAAAGAATTGTTTTCTATAAAGAAAAAGAAAATTACTGGATGGTTTAATTCACATCGGGAGCATCAAGGACGGGAGTGGGGGGAAATAGTAATAATGAACGACTATATATACCGGAGACATTTTATGGGGGTGGCATGGGTAATGAGATCAAAAATGGGATGGGGGAGTGCACGGGACTATGGTGATGGCACACGGGTGAAATAGTGATAGGAAGCCCACCAGGATTACAATTGAGATGGAAAAAGTCACAAAATGATGTAAAAATAAACTATTATAATAATAATAAAAAAAGAAGGGCAACTAATAAACTATAAGAAGGGCAACCCATAAACTAGGACCTGGTTGGAGTGGGCATGACAGAGCAGGAAACAGCTGTAGAAAGGTCCAGCTACAAGACAAGCAGTATGCTAAGGGACAGTAGCAGAGAACCAGGCTTAATTAACCATGTGTCTAGGAACAGTTTTATTAGTGATTCAAGTGGCCCCAGTATTGACAAAGGCAAATTGGTGGCATTTTACAAATAGAAGCAGTTTTACTATCTGCCCACGAGACAAAGGCCATGACAGACTTCTGTTAATGCACAGAGGACACATACCCCAAACTCCCAGAGCAACAGAGACGGACAGATATGGTAACCTGCTACTTGGCATTTATCAAGTATCTACTATGCCAGACCTCATTAGGGACTTCACTAAGTCATAACAAAAATTTTGATGATGCAGGGGTTACTAGCCCCATTTCACAGTAAAGAATACTGAAATTCGGCCCTCCCTGGTGGCGCAGTAGGTTAAAGCACAGCACTGCAAGCTAGCAGCAGCTGCTTCAGTGTGGGTTGGATCCCCGGCCCCAAAGGTGAACACATGGCTCAGCAGACCTCTCCTGTGTTGCCTGCTGCTCCCCTGAGCAGTATACTTTGTCTGTCTGCCTGTTCTGCACTCCACTTTGTCTCTGATGAATCCTCTCAACTCCGCACCTCAAGTCTGTACCCCAGTTATATACGCTTAAATAAATAAATCTTAAAAAGAAAAAAAAAAAGTACTGAAATTCGAAGGTTTAAATAATGGCATCACCATTATGCAAGTGTTAAGTTAAGGAGTTAGGACTCAATGCAAATATTTTGACTCCTGTTAATAACCTTTTTAAACAAGATGCTCAATTGTGTTTCATGAAGGTAACCAGGGAAAGACATGTGTGGAAGACAACGGGAAGATCACTCCAATACACAGCAACAGGTAACTTCCAAAATATTTGCTCATGATATACAACAAGAGATACATGTTATAACATGACCCAGTAGCAAAGATGCCTCTCAGTGCATAACAACCAAAAAATGAGAGTTCTACAAAAATATTTACCACTATCATATGTGATTCACTCAGATATTTTTCAGGTTTTTTTTTTTCTATTATATTTATTTCATTATTTAAAAAATGCTGGCCGGGACTCACTGAAGTGAATTCATGGCCCCTGAGTAGGTCAAAATCCACACTTTGAAAACTCACACCATAACCAGTGCTTACAACAGCTCTTAATATTTCTGATACTTGGGGAAAATACTAGGTTTTCCAATTTTTCCCATTTGCACTTTCTTTAAAAAGAAAAGGGAGCAAAGGTAGATGAGAGAGATAAGCAATGGAGAGAAGAGTTCATCATGTGTCACCTTCTAAAAAGGATAGTGAAACTGACATATTCCAAAAAAAGGAACAAGTCCATCTCTAAGATAAGGAAGTAACTCTAAAAAAAAGCAAAGGTTAAATACCCTTATTGGAGAAGGTTATGAGGACTTTAATGTTCCTTAGTGTTGTTAGAAAGACATTGTTTTCCAACAATGACTCACTGATAGAAGGGATGCTTGTATGTAGGCTTTCAGCAAATTTAAGACTGAAAGAAAAGTCATTACCTATTCTTCAGGTTGTCTTCTTTATGCAAAGCACGAGGTCTCTTCTAGGTTACCTGATCAAGACTTTTGAAAGCATTACTTAAATTTGATTTGACTTATTAAAAAGCCTAGACAGCATTAAGTATAAAAGGATGCAAGTTTTAGCTTCTAGTAGAGAATCAATACAAGAGTCAGGAGCATAGTTAATACAAACACATTAAAAGAGAAGGAATGAATGGGAGTTCATAAATGTACTAACTTGGAAATGGTCTCAATAAAAACTTTAGTTACCATGGGGATTTCAGGGAGGGAAAAAAAGGAGCCTCTACAGAGAAGTGACTGATGCTATTTATTAATCCACATCCAAGTAATGTCAAATTTTAAAGTTGCTCCAAAGAAAACCACTTTTTTTTATATCAGCCTTTTAATATGCTGAAGGAACCTGCTCAAAATGCTTCAGCAGTGAAGTAACTTAGATGATAAATGTGTTCTTCAATCTGTGCACCAGTCAAGTAGCAATAAAATCAGAGTAATTCATGCAAAAATTTTCATTATGTTTCTAAACATACTTATTTACATTTTAAATCACACATTAGACAATATGAAATATCTTTCATTTAGACAGGTGTGAACTAGAAAACAGATGCATTCATTAAACATAGAACAATTCAGTGAATTAAAAAAAAAAAACAGAAACAACAACAAAAAAAAAACACAGCGAACTCTCTGTTGAAGTGCTCGAGCCACTGTAAACTTACTTGAAAAAATATGGCCATGGCTCCGATTATTCTGTTTTCAGAAATCGCTGTTTGAAAACTATCAAAGTCATCTGGATTGTAAAAGAAAATCTGCATCTGTAAAAGAACAATTTAAAAAATTATTAGAAAATTTTCACACTATGCCAAAAAATAGTGCAACAGATACAGATTGCCCACCTATTAATATTTTGCCCAACATATTAAACCATTTGTAGTTTTTTCTATGCTAAAATCTGAGTGCCAACCCCAGATATATCATTACACCTAAATACTTCAGTAAAGATCACTAAAACACATCTCATGTAAGTATAGTGCCTTTGTGACCCCCCAAATAAATAAACCCAACAACTTTTTATTACCTGATATATAATGATGGATGTTCTCTACTAAGAAGCAACATTTTAATGAATTTTGATACCTTTAAGTAGAAAATCAGCTTGTGAGATTCTGTTTACATGTTCAAATGTAAGTGCTTAAATGGTCACACATTTACAAACAGTGCCCATTCTAACAGAGAATTTTAAGTGATCTGTAGCTTTGAGAAAAGCCTAAATGGAATATTTTAGTGACTCCACAAAGAAATATAATGGTGATAACAATATTAATGTTCTACATTTTACAGTTTAGAACATGATATCCCATGCAGTACAGCACATCACAGAATTCATCAAACTACTCCTGTGGAGGCAGGGCAGAAATTATTACATTTGGTTCCAGATAAGGAGAGTGCTTCATACAGCTGATGCTAACTAGGGTTAGAGAAACATCAGAGAAGAGTATAAAATCCAGGTGCTCTTGGGCCTCCCAGGTGGTGTAGGGTTTGTTTCAGCATTTTCATTCCATGGGCCTGTCAATCACCTTCCAGGGAGCTGACCCACATGGCACAGCAGACCTTTCCTGACTGGCCTGCTGCTCCACTAGGCAGTGTATTTTTAGTAAATGTGCTTGTTCTGCTCCCCACTCTGTTTCCTGGTGTATCCTTTAACCCCTTGCACCTCTGGCCTATACTCCAGTTCTTCTATACAAAAACTGAAAATCAAAACAGAACAAAAACCAACTGTAAACCTTAAATACCTTTTCTTACACCTAGCGAGGGCTCTTCTTTTCAAAAAGGAGAGCACAGATAAATTGCTTAGTATCACTATACAATTTTATATGTTTGACCAGTCTTTGATAGTGAATACAATTCGAGAACAAAAAAGGGCCAGAGCATATTCTTGTGAGACTAGGTATGGGATAAAAATAACAGAGCTGGCTTCTTACTCCAATGTTTTCATTACTTGCCTGTGAGACCTTAGGCAAACAAGTGAATTTCTGAGTATCAGCTTACTCATGTACAGATCCAAGTATGCATACTTGTATGGGGTTCAAACAAGTCATGTAGTGTATCTTCTATGGCATGTTGAGTATATGGTACTCAGAAATTCACAACTTCATCGCCTCCTTTTTCCTGTTCCTCCACCTCCTCTTTCTTGTTCACTTTCTTTTTTCCTCTACCTCCTCAATCTTGTAAATAAAGTTAACATTTGGGAGACATCTTAAAATGTCTATTAATAATGCCAATTTTCTAGAATGACCCTCTTCTTTGTAGAAAGTATAATCTCTTACATTATTTCTCTGTCATCATGTCCATTTCCCCACTCTTCCCAATGGCATGATGATATTTTCTTTAGTGAATTGAACAACTATATCCCAGAACGGAGTCTGGATCTTTGATACGAAATGGCAAATACTCAGCAGGGAAAAGAGCTAACTCAGAGACTAGCTGAAGAGTAGGACAAAAGGCAAATAGATCCTGCTTACTCTTTTTGAAGAGTGCAATCAAATAAACCAAATCAAGATACTTTCTAGGAAGAGTCAAGTATCCAAATGGATATGAGAAGGATACACAGATTTCTTTCTTTAAAGAATTACTTTTCTTAGGCAATTGATTCTGGTAGCTGCTTACAAATGGGTTGCCTTTAGGATTGGACAGCTTTAGACATCATGAATTTACATTGGGAAAAAATCCATTCAATGAGGTGCAGATTAAAACAGTTTAATACTAGGTGAATTGCTTTGGGTACAATGCTATTAACTCAAGAGAGAAACTCCACACTAGTATATTCATGAAATTACACTTCACTTTCCTTTTAAAACTCAGGGCCTCAAGTTAAGTAAATTCACAGGAGGATTCCTTACTCTTCCGTCCATGAACAGGGGTGACATTGTTTAATGCATCACCTGAATGGTGTATGATACAGAATACTTTAAGACCTCTTCAAGAGCACTTTCATTCACAACTGGGTGAAGAAATTCATTTTTAGGAAATATCTTTGAGTCATGGCTCCTCCCATTAGGATAATACAGTATCTCATAAAGAGGCTAGAAGCATCCGTTTTCCTTGCTATTCCTTTCAAACGGTCTAGTGAGTTATGCTAACATTTGAAGTTATCTTAAATATGAGAATAAATAAGTAGATGGAATTTTGCTGAGGAATTTAAAATGCTCTTCTGACACGAGCTATGCAACCTCTGTCATCAGACACGGTCCGGATGGAGGGGAATTGCTCTGAAAAATCAGACTTTCCACGCTAACTTATGTTATGACCTCCCTTTTTTGTATAACCGTAATATCAAAATATTCTGAGCAACTTTCAGCTTACAATTGGATTGCCTCAGCCGCACAAGGCCTGCCTGCCTTGACAAGCAAGCACTGCACCAGGGTGAAAAAATTCCCCTGAAGTCAAGTGACTTGACTACTGACTGATAAATAAAAGCAAAAGGGCTGTTTTTGCAAAGTCTCTCTCACTGCCGGATGGAGGATAGCCCAAATCTTATCATTCTATTATCTCACCTAGCCTTCTATTCAGCTTTTTAAAGAATTACTCAAACTTCCTATTGTTTGGCCTTTAGATGTGGAAATTCATCCAGTTTGCTTGTTTTTTAAACTAATCAAGTTTTCCACCTGCTACACCTTAAAGGAATCCACAAAAGTCTTCTGGCTAGTTTTTCAGGATTCTATGTAGTCTTTAGATAAAGAAATCCACCTATGTCTCCTATTCAGAGATTTGATTAGCAAGGAATTTCCTCTTCTGTCTCCTAGGATGATTAAGGCAGAAAAACAAACCCATTAAGTAGTAGATAAGGTTTAAGGGACTTCTATATTAGTTGATCTCCACTATAGTAATATTAGTCATCGATTTTGTGCACTTATGTACCTGTTTTTTACCTTGATTGATTTTAGAATGCTGTAATCTCAAGCTAGGGTCAAAACAACCCCAAACTGTTCTTAGGAAAAACAAAGATGATTGTAATCTCTCAGCCCAGTTCGTGTGCTGATGTCATCTCACTGCTTGCTCGTAATGTATAAAATAAACCTCTGCTGAAGGCAGAGCAGGAAGACTTGCACCCAACTCTGACTCCCGTGTCTTCCTCGCTCCCCTTTCCCCTTTTTTCTCCCTTTTCCCCTTTTTTAGGAATCTCTACTCGAAGACGCCTTCCCACCTTAGGGTCCTGCCTGTCCTGCCTCCAGACACCTCAATAGTTGGAGCTGGTCTCCGACACTCTTCTGTTATTGTTGATGAGGTAAATTTAGGCAGAAGCAGGAAAACTATTTTCCAAAAAGTATCTTAGGAAGGTGTCAGGGTATCCTGAGGAGCCCCAAACCTTCTGTATCTGCTCTCAAGAGCCAAACCTTGGGCCATCCCTTGAAAATTTGCAAGTGTATTCTGTCTACTAATGTGAATCTAAATCGCGTTCTAAGTATATCAATTCTGAAAAAAAAGAAACAAACCATGTTTGCACATGAGCTGAAGAAAAATCTGGAAAATTAAGTAATTAATATATCTATCAGCTAACTTCATATATCCTTTACCCAGTACCAACAATTATTTACATTTTACTTCACTGGCATCTTCTCTACCATTTTATCTACAAACACACATACACACACGTTTCTTCTGAATCACTTCGTTATGAGTAGGAAAAATTATGTCCCTTGATTATAAAATAGTTACGTGTAAAATATTTAAGCATCAGGACATTCTCTTATAACCGCAGTATACCTATTAAAATTAGTCAATCTCATACTGATATAATACTATTATCTCATTTATAGTCCATTTTCCAATAAAATCCACTATCATTTTGATTTGTCAATGCAGGAATACAATTTGTATTCAACTTTGCACTTAGTTGTCTTATCTTTTTGTTCTACTCTTCTCATGCCCCAACTGTTTATGTAGTGTCTGGTTTTGTCACTTGGTTTCTCATGATTAAATTCCAGAGATGCCCTGGGGTAGGTTACTGCAGTAGCAATGCAGTATCTTCACAGTGCACTGTGTCAGAAAGCAAGGTGTGTGTTTATTGTAGTATCATAGGTGTTTAAATTGACCATGTGGTTAAGATGATGTTTGCCAGGCTTCTCCACTACAAAGTTACTGATTTGTCTCTTAGGGAGCTATTCCGAGATTACACAAATATCCATCCCTCAACCAACTTTCACTTATGAGTTTTAGTATCCATTGATATATTTTTTTTTAACTCCAGCATCCCTTCTATCCTCACTAGTGGCATTCTAGTGGAAGGAATAACCTTTCATAACAGTACATTCATTCATTCATTTTTACTTTATAGGCTTATTTATTTTAGATTTTGTGTTTTCTGGCAGCCTGTAACCCATTACTCCTTCCTATTATTATCTCAAACTGTCTTCATTTTGTACTCTAGGAGACTCTTCAAATGAATTCCTGTTTCATTCTCTTATGTTGCCATCATTTTCTATTTTTTAGGATTTCTTTATTAGCTGGCACAGAGTTTCTAGGCTCATCTTGTATTTTCTCAGTGCCAGTCCTAAAATTGGCCCTAAAATTGGCCTTTTAGTGAGGAATGGTATTTGAAGACATAATAATTTTAACTCAGTATTTTCCAACTAGAACATTCTAGTTCAAGAAATCACCATAGATTAAGACCATGAATCTATTCAACCAGTACCCTATTTACAAAGGAAAGAAAGTTGTATCAACTTTATGTAAATGAATGTCACTTTACCAGAGAGTCAGGAGTTACACAAACAGACTACATGAAGCTCAACTATAAAGTCAGTGACAGTCTGTG